ATACGGTTTGCTACAGTGACAAGGCTCAAGGTGTTGTGGTCATCATGTCTGATTTACATGCAGTAAGTAAAGTTTGACCTAATCAGTGTGACCTATTATTTACCTGAGGTTCTTGTATGGGGGAGGTTCATTTGTTTGACGCAGATTGATAACATTTCAAGGCACCCGTGCTGTTACACCAAGATCATCGGGCCTTTTGGGCTCTTAGAACATGGGGGATTAGCCCCTGGCTTAGTCTAATGAACTATAAATTGCTTTTGATAAAAGCATCAGCTAAACAACAATGAAGTGTCTTTGTAACAGCAGAATTAGAAGGTCTTGGTGGATTAAACTGTGGTATTGAGAAGCCTCCGTTTTACTTAATATATGTCCGATTATATATTGTTTTGTCATTTTAAAAGTTAACTGGCATTGTGGGTGAGGTGAGTGAAATATTCAGAAACTGTAAATGTGATATAAATGATATATTGATTATTATTCTATTCTTATTGAATATCTATATTCAATAAAATAAAACATGTACATAGACAAAATAATTAACAAAATCTCTAGCTATGGCGATGACAACCTTAAAAATGTAGACAAAACAAATCAATCAGCCTAGTGAACTATTGACAAAATGATGATATTGTCAGAAACAATTAAACATGTCTACATCTACTATCTTGATGCCATTTATCCTATTCCACAAACTTTCTCCAGATAATGGTGTGGCACAGTGACAGGCATGGCCACTGAGCCTGGTGGTGAGAAGAGGAAAATGCAACAAAATGGTCACAAAAATCATTCAAAGGGTATTAACCCCTTTATATGGACTACAACAAAACAAAGGATAAACACAAATGTACAGAGTGTAATAAAAAGGTTCAAATACGAGAGCATCTCTCAAAAATTATCCTCAACAATTTTAAAACAAGGCTTGAGAGCTCAACAGTACACAAGCAGAACAAAATGTCTCAGCAGGAAAACTTTATTTACATACATAGATATTACACATATTTATATTTATAAAATGTTTACATTTATATATTATAATTAGCGATATTAACATTAAGATCTACATGGTGGACAAGCCAAACATAAAGACTTGGCAACTTAAATGAATATTGAATTCCGGTTTTCCAACACCAAACTTTAATATATCAGTATATATCTTATAGGTGCCATATTTATGATGACAGATGACAATAGATGCAGAGAAACCATGCCACTTCCCATTTCCAGAGTCCATTTAATTTTTATTCAATAAAAAGTACAAACTGAAAGTCTGTTTGTTTGTGTCTGCGCAAGGTACACATGCAGGCCTGGGAAGTTAAATCAAAGAGCAGGAACAGAGAATTCACTCAGTGACACCTGGAAAGAAGAGTCGGAGGAGCTTGAATGGAGATCAAGGAGTTGCAGCAGCAGTAGCTGTTGATGTCTCAGCAGCACCTCTCCCAGTAGAATTGGAGTCTTTGAGGTTTTTGGAGACTCCAAGGTTGCACCATGGACCACCTGGACACTGGTCCAGGGGCCATGGGGGGCGACGACCTGCAGGTTCGCCACACCTCCATGAGGGTCATCCCATCATCTATGCAGCAGCTGCTGGTGCACCGAATGGCAGTCCCACTGGCACACAGGCTACCTGACACCTGGGGAGAGAGGACAATACTCCTTGGCTGAGCTTCTGCCCCAAGAGCACCCAAACTTTGCAACCTCCCTCTTACACACCAGGAGGATAGGCATACATTTGCAATTTTCACATGATACTGAAATTTGGGATTACATGTGAAAGTGTGTGTGTGTGTGTGTGTGTGTGTTTTGGTGGGGGGATACTAACTAACTGTATAGGATGTACAATCTTCTGAAAGTACCTTGGGTCACTTCTGACTCCTCCCTTAAATTGGATTGGATGATCCATAGAATGGTCACTCTTCACTGACAGGCAGCTGGGTGCAGGAGATGCTGCTCTCTGCACCTGGACACCATTAACACTGGAGACAGACCTTATAGTTAACCTCAACCCATTGCTGCAGACTCCCAAAAATTGCTCCATAAAATATTTCAAATGTATGTCATTGATAATGTTTCCTAAAAATGTCTTTTGCAATTATTCATATGAGTGCAGATACTTGCCCAGGTATATACTGTGCATACTTAAATAAATATGACTTCAAGGCCTTTCAATCAAGTTAAACACAATGAAAGGTCATGTTTGACAAAAAAGTCTGCTGCTTTGTTCTTTTTGCCCTTTGCACTTATATACATACTTAAGCATGATGTCTGTATAATTAATAGGTAGTTATGGTAATACCAGCACATTACTATCTTTTTGGCAGTATTCCCTTTAGGTGATTAGGGATGTGAGTCCTTGTTGATACTGAATTCTCCTCTCTTAGAATTTAAGTACCTGCAGAAGTTGGGTTTCTACACATAATGAATAATTAGACATCCTGTCCCCATACCCATCTATTTCTGTTCATAAGTTATCTGATAAAAAGCAGAGGGTTTTATTTGAGATATAAAACTAAATAAGACACATGGTCTGAAGGACGTTAATTTCACACCCTCTTTGGTGGTGTTCCCTTTATGTGCTATGGAGTGTATGGGTCCATGTTCCAGTAGATACGCAACTCTGCTCTTTTGAAACCTGTGGAAGCTGCGTTTTCTGAATTACTTGATGATGAATTATCTATTATGAATAACATATACATAACATGTTTCATAACATCATGTGCGGTCCTGTGAAATTACCTTGGATAACTTTCAACATCTGCTTTAAGGTTAGGTGGATGCTCCATCGACTCAGACCTCTTCAGTGTCGGACGGCTATCCTTGAGTGATCCTGCTACCTTTGGCTGGGCTCTGAGAAATTAACAGATACAGAGCTTGTAGCCACATCCTTTTGCTGGTGTTCACTTTATGTGCTGGGAAAGTGTGAGTCCATTTTCCATTAGATATTTAACTCTACTCTTTTGAAACTTGCGGCAGTTGTTTTTTCTGACTTGATGATTAATTATCAGTTATGTCTTTGCTTAAAAATAAAATGAATGACCACACATCTTTCCCCAATTCTCGGATGGGAGAGGGCTAACACGGCATGTAACATGGCCCACTTTGAGACACAAATCTAAGCATTATGTGGGGTGTAACCAAATTAATTTTCACGTTAACAAAACAAGGTACTTCATACAAAGTTATGACTGCCTAAAATAACATGTTTGCATAACCTGTTTAGTATAATAATGGTAGATAATGTGAGGTTCTGCGAAATTACCTTGGATAACTTTCAACATCAACTTTAAGGTGAGATAGAAGCTCCATTGACCGCGACCTCTTCAGTGTTGGACGGGTGGGTATAAGTGATCCTGCTACCTTTGACTGGCCTCTGAGAAAATAATATAGACACAGAGCTTCCAGTTAACCTCACCATTAATATAACATACATTAATATAATATGTGTGAAGTCATTACACACAGCTTGCAGAGCCTCTCATTCATCATCTCATAAATACTAACTTTGTTAGCCAGTTACGCAACCTTTCATTAACCGAACATACCCTTCAACCCACTCCTACACCCAAACCTGCCAACCAATAGTGAAGAACGCCTGGACTTTCTTATACCATGCCCTGAACTCGTTCAATTTTTAGAAAGTGCCACCGTCTCAGGAAAATATTTGTATATTCACTTAGTTCGCCGAGCTGATTGGTCACAGCAGAGAAACGTTTTCCTGATTAAAGGTGAAGTTCAAGGAACTTACGTATACCCGATGGATACTTAATTTAATGTCTTCAGTACCATTGGCGATGTAGAATGTCATATTAATTTGGATGACAAGAATTTCCAGGGATAAATACAACGGCAAAAATTCGATATAAAATAAGACATGTACATAACATAGAATAATTAACAAAATCCCTAGTTATGGCGATGACAACCTTAAGAATGTAGACAATAGAAATCAATTAGCATGGTGAACTATTGACAAAATGATGAAAATATTGTCAGAAACAATTACACATGTCTACATCTTGATGCTATTTATCCTATTCCACAAACTTTCTCCAGATAATGGTGTGGCACAGTGACAGGCATGGCCACTGAGCCAGGTGGAAAATGTAACAAAATGGTCACAAAAATCATTCAAAGGTTATTAACCCCTTTATATGGACTACAACAAAACAAAGGATAAACACAAAAACGTACAGAGCATGATAAACACTCTGTGAGACCTGCTGGGTCGGCGGATGGTGACCCAGCAGTGTCGCCATAGTAACAAGGTCAACCCAGCCCCCTCTCATAGCTGAAGATTTTTCCACATTCCTTAGAAGAAGTTGGTCTCAGCAGCTTTGTGAATAGGTTTTAAGAGGAGACTGTTTGCTCTGAACTTTTATAGCCATTTAGGAGATATCTTAGCGATAAGATAAAATGCCTTGTGAGTAGAATCATAATCGGCTTACGTCAGTAAGACCCTTACATTACCATAACGTATCACATTACAATATGATTTCTGAATGCTTAATTGTAACATCCTCCACAACTATATGAGTGCACAGACCGGCCTGCCTGTCTGAGGGATGTATTGCCCACTCACCTCTGGTATTTGCTCTATTGTTACCAGCTCTGCTGTGCAGTCAGTCTGTTGTTGGAATTGATGCACCTAATGCAGCTGTCAGATCAACATAAGGATAAATTGTGCTTGTCTACACTTGAATTAGGCGCTAACCTGATTGGTTGCTCCACACTAGGAGACAACAGAACTTAAAAACTGCTACAAAAGTAACCTGTGATGGTCAGGACATTGTTTAAATTAACTGCAGACCTGATGAGCTATTGAAAAAAGGATGAAATTCCGGTCAGAACCAATTTAACATGTATGTCTTGGTAGTATTTATCCCATTCCATACATTTCTCCAGATGATGGACCCACACAAATCCCTAGAAATGGGTAGGGTAAGATGATTTTAGAGTCTATGTAAGGCAAATCAATTGTATCTATGATCAGGGAGGCATTTAGAAGTTCTGTAGTGTAGTGGTTATTCCATTTGCTTTATACTCAGAAGGTCCTGGATTCGAACTCCAGTGGAACCATCTGTTTGTCTTAATCATTTGCTTCCTGAGGTTCTTGTTTGGGGCAAGTTTGTTTGACATCTCTCTAAAATGAAAATCATCCTAAACCATTTCAAATCAAGTCTTGAGAGCCCAACTAAGTGGTGCATCCTTTACAAATGACTACCAGAGATCCCTCACACAGTGACCTCCAGAAACACTGGAAGGTATTGAAAACAGAGTGGAAAAACAACACTGTAAAGATGAACCCTCCCTCATATGAATGCATGAACACAGTCTTACATCCACAAACATGATAAAAGCAACACAAAGTTTAAGAAAATCTGCACGTTTATTGGAACACGTGACATAAGAGCAGTGGGTGGAGCTTCTCGGTTATTGCTTTTGCTGGTAGTGATAGAGGGTGGTTACACTGTCATGTTTAGGCTGTCCACACCTCTCCTCTTCTTCCTCCTCCTCCTCTTGAGACATAGGGGTTATGGGAGGAGGATGGTGGTCCAAGGTGGCCTAGCGCATGGTAACCAGCTCTTCGGAGGAGGTGGGGTGGATAGCAATGGTTCTGTCGAAGTCCGCCTTGGTGGCGCCCATCTTGATGGCCACAGCGAAGCCCTGAAGCATCTCGTCGCAGCCAATCCCTTGCATGTGCAGTCCCACCACCTGATAAGCATACGCGTGAAATCACTCTGGTTTCTTGACAACCATACCTTGTAAACTAACTGTAAGGCATACATAGCTAATACATGTTAGATTTCCAGCAAATAGACCATGGAGACAGCGCCTGGTTTAGACCACATTTAAATTCTAACCCAGATCTAAATGACTAAATTAAACCCTCATATAAGTGCAAGGTCAACACGGACTGTGATGTGGAGAGTAGCAGCAGCAGGTATTTTGTGTTTAAGAGGAACATGTGCTTGTCGATGGCAAACTTTGCTGAATTTAGCGGTGTGATCATGAAATCCAGATTGTGAGAAAAAGGAGAAGTGTGCAAAAATACATATAAGGGATCCAAGTCTCCCACTTTCAGTCTGTCTGGTGATATACAGAAGCAAGACTACCATCAAAGCCAAATCCACTGTAGATTTTGAACAACTGTGTTGTGGCTGAAGGTCCCAGCTCAGATTTTTTAAAAACGTAGCGGCTAATCCACTGGGCAGCTTTACCATTGCTGTCACCGATACCTAAATGTAGTCCTTGTCACAGAAAATCTGGGCCCATGAGAACATAACATGGGTTTAATTATTAGTTTCTTCCAAAAACTATTAATTATTATTGATTATTTATTAATCAAAATTGACCCTCACCTTCTCCTCTTTCCCCACGCACACCAGCTTCATGACGCACTGGGTTTTCCGGCTGGTGATGGCGTGGTACATGGGGGTGAAGGAGGTTGTGTACGTCTTCACGTTCTCCTTTCCCTGCCGCTGAATGGCCTCATCTGAAACACACAGAATTCAGGTGAGACCAGGAGAAACCCAATTCATCCTGATTCCTCCAGGTGGCGCTCTAAGCACCCTGGTGGGGGTAAAAGCTTGCTTTTCACTATTACTCCTTTACAATATGCATGTCCCTTTAATTTTATCAGGGGGTGTCCATATTTAATTTCACTGAGTCTCACCTACGGCTCAAGTGTCACACGATCTGGAGTTTAGCTTCGCTCCAGTTTAGCTTGGCTAAAGCAGCCTACATTTGGCCAATATCTAGTTTGTAAACAACAAACAGTAACAGCTAGCCAAAACTGCAAACACCTTAGCTATACACTAAAGCGAGGCAGAGGCCTCAGGGATAGCTGAAGCGTAGCTACAGCAGGTTAATGGAAGCACCTCAGGTGTAACTAGCCCACAGCTAGGGCAGGTAAGTGGAAGAACTTCCTGTATAGCTGTCTCGAAACTGTATGTATATTCACAGTTGACAACTGAATAAAAGCAAAATGTACATTTGAAAGACAAACAAGTGGGAGAAAAAGACAAACCATGTATAAATGTAACTCGAAAACATTATTTGTACAAAAACAGCACATGCAAAGAAAGAACACATATATACTCCTGGCTAAGGCACAACAGCGCCTAAGTTGAGAGTAAATTGACCACACCCTGAGTTCAAGGCCCATTCCTGTAGTACTGTGGGTCGTATTGGGGGACTGACAATCATTTTCGAATGAGCACGCACCTTCAGTAAGGCCCACAGTACCGATGGGGGGGTGGGCGAACACCACGGTGGGAATGTTGCTGTAGTCCACTTTGGAGTCTGCTTTTCCTTCAAACAGCCTGTGTGCCAGTTTCCTGCCTGCAGCGATGGCGACTGTGCGGACACAGAGAAACAAAGACGTCTCAGTAACGCAGAGATTGCGGATTCAGCTCCTAGCTACCATACTGTAACTGTACCCATGTGCAACATACTTCACCAGGAGGTGCTTCAGAAAATATTTGGGTGTATAAATGGATAGTGTTTATTATGGAAAACTGTGAGTGACCATGGATAAGAGGGTCTGCCAAATTACTAAATGTAATAGATAATACATGTATATATATGCAATATATTTAGAATATCCTGCAGTTTTTTTCTATTTCTGTTAAGGGATGGTACAAATGTCCAAAGGGACTTGTGAATTCTATTGTATTTATTTATCAATAAATATTCATTTTCAGCTATGAGTAGTTAAGACAATGAAGATGATTAGGTGATAACGTTAAATAACAAATATAAATAAATTATAAATTATCCCTGCAACAGTTGATGACTTACGTGTCCTTGGTATGTCTATATGAAGTGCCCCCCTTTCAAAAGAAAATACCTTTTTCCAGATTACCCTTAATTTTAAGATACATTTAAACTTTCATGATAAATGAGGATATTCAGAAACATTTCTTTTCTGGGGTGAGTGGCCTGAGACCAGAGAACAGAAATTGACTGTGTCTAGAAGGGAAAGGCTTGCTGTTTTGCTGGCTCATGTCCCTCACCCTTTCACAAAGCCTCTTCTGTATCTATGGTCCAAAACAACCTGAATTCAGCAAATTATGCAACTCCACCAAATGAAAATCTAATTCTAAAGTAAAGATTTGTGTCTCATTATAAGTAGTAAACACAACTAAAATAAAATCATCACAAGCACTTTTTGTAAAACTCTTACTGAAGATGGTGAAGGAACATGAGCTAACTGCAACAGAATTCTTGATTCTAAACTTATTTCTACCAACCCTTTTGTTTTAGTACATCACTTAATCAGAACCAGTCATAAATTCCAAGAACATTCTTCTTCTGTATAATGCAAAGAATGCAAATACATTTAGCATTCAACCAGCAGTGACATCACAGAACAGCACAAAAAGTGTAAAGGTCAAAAGAAGATGACATCATAGAACAGCACAGAAAGCAAACAGGTCAAACACAGATGACATCACAATAGAACACAGAAAGCATAGAAGTCAAATGCAGATGACATCACAGAATGCCACAGAAAGCATACAGTCAAACGCAGATGACATCACAGAAAAGCACAGAAAGTGAGCGAACTGTACCTGGTGTAAGGAGGGCTTTGCCACACACATCCCCCACGGCGTAGATGCCCTGACGGCTGGTGTTCTGGAACTCATCGACCACGATGTGTCCCCTCTCATCCTGCTTCACACCCTGAGAGACACATCAACTTCTTTATCAACCACCATAACATTTATTACATACCAAGACAAGCATCACATTAATAGACAAACAGGATTGTGAATTAATAAAGCTAGAGTAGAGTCCGAGCAGATACAATTTCCAGTTCCCAATACTCCCAACCAAGACTGCGTATACTGCAAGAAGGGATGCTTAATTGTAAACATAGGTCTCTTTCAGCTAGTTTTATTGAATTCATCTATGCAATATAGTTTATCTGATGTGGCCTTCTCGGTCAGAATTCCCTTTAAAGATACTGAGTTTGTATTTGAGTGGGATTTTCCTGTCGAAGTAAAGGAAAAATACATTGTTCCATGGAGCTAGAACCTGCCATTTTGTTTGCATGTGTTTAGAAAGACCACTATGCACAGGAAGTCATTTTGTTATGGCAGTCGAGGTTGCACCTCGTGCTAAAACACTAGTTCTCAGCATGTTGACGTGCAGCGTAGAGACGAAACGGGGTCTTGTGACGCACGGACCAGTGAGGTGACACACTGCTGTCCATAGCTTCACAGAAGGAGGGTGGTTTCCCCGCCTCAACTGAACAGCGGCTCGCCTGGTCTTTGCGTAACATCTGATAGGTTCCAGGTTTTTATGATATTATTTAAGGCTTCCTGTAGGTGACAGAACTGTGTTGTATTCTGTATTTGTACTTTGTGACATCTCCACCTCATGACACCTTTGGTCTAGCCAGCTCCAGTCATCAACCAAACATTTGCATTTGTGTAAGGTATCCTGTCTCTACAGCATACCTCTGCTAATGGCTCTGCCAGGGTTCCCATGGAGGGACAAGACCAGTTGTCTCTGGCCTGCCCCTTATCTCATTCCTTTGATATGTATGACAAGGAACTGTATATCAACACACCACACAACCTGATTCTTTAGAGATTCTCTCGGCACAGGCAGCCCGAATGTTCTGAGTTTGTCTCTCCCTTGCGCATTGTAATAAATCAACATTCTCTTAAGAGAAGTCGTCAGCGTGTTCTTCATTGTCCTGCATTTGGTTCCACGGAGAAGGGCAAAATATCCTAACACATGGCACTCACCATGCTCTTGAGGTTGAGGCCGTTGGTGTTGGGCTCGCGGCCGATGGCCCAGAGTAGACAGTCCACCTCCTGGATGGTGCTGATCTTCCCCTCCTCCTCCTTCTCCGGGTCCTTGGTGATCAGTGTCACTTCAAGACCCTTGTCCGTCTTTCGTACGGACTTAACCTGGAGAGGCCACAATGTTAAGAGGTAGAAGAGACGGCCAAACAATCAAAAAGCAGCCACTCCCTCTCACTGACGCTTTCCTCTGCTAAGAAGGCAGCCACCTTTAATTTCATTAAGACCCATTTTCATAAACTGGATTTTATCAACATTTAA